GCAAAAATGGAGGCTCTAGACCCTTCCAGAGCTGAGATATCGAAACTCAAAATTTCGACCCGAAAAAAAAACGACAGTGTTACCCCTTACGTTTTTTTTTTTTTGTGCAAAAATTAAGTATCCCCAATCTTCTCGAAACTCTGGATTCTGATAGAGGGCACTGAGACTTACACCTGAGTGCAAAAATGGAGGCTCTAGACCCTTCCAGAGCTGAGATATCGAAACTCAAAATTTCGACCCGAAAAAAAAACGACAGTGTTACCCCTTACGTTTTTTTTTTTGGGCGAAAAATTAAGTATCCCCAATCTTCTCGAAAACTCTGGATTCTGATAGAGGGCACTGAGACTTACACCTGAGCGCAAAAATGGAGGCTCTAGACCCTTCCAGAGCTGAGATATCGAAACTCAAAATTTCGACCCGAAAAAAAAACGACAGTGTTACCCCTTACGTTTTTTTTTTGGGCGAAAAATTAAGTATCCCAATCTTCTCGAAACTCTGGATTCTGATAGAGGGCACTGAGACTTACACCTGAGTGCAAAAATGGAGGCTCTAGACCCTTCCAGAGCTGAGATATCGAAACTCAAAATTTCAACCCGAAAAAAAAAACGACAGTGTACCCCTTACGTTTTTTTTTTTGGGCGAAAAATTAAGTATCCCCAATCTTCTCGAAACTCTGGATTCTGATAGAGGGCACTGAGACTTACACCTGAGCGCAAAAATGGAGGCTCTAGACCCTTCCAGAGCTGAGATATCGAAACTCAAAAATTTCGACCCGAAAAAAAAACGACAGTGTTACCCCTTACGTTTTTTTGGGGGGGCAAAAAATTAAGTATCCCCAATCTTCTCGAAACTCTGGATTCTGATAGAGGGCACTGAGACTTACACCTGAGTGCAAACATGGAGGCTCTAGACCCTTCCAAAGCTGAGATATCGAAACTCAAAATTTCGACCCGAAAAAAAAACGACAGTGTTACCCCTTACGTTTTTTTTTTTTGGGCGAAAAATAAAGTATCCCCAATCTTCTCGAAACTCTGGATTCTGATAGAGTGCACTGAGACTTACACCTGAGCGCAAAAATGGAGGCTCTAGACCCTTCCAGAGCTGAGATATCGAAACTCAAAATTTCAACCCGAAAAAAAAAACGACAGTGTTACCCCTTACGTTTTTTTTTTTTGGGCAAAAAATTAAGTTTCTCCAATCTTCTCGAAACTCTGGATTCTGATAGAGGGCACTGAGACTTACACCTGAGTGCAAAAATGGAGGCTCTAGACCCTTCCAGAGCTGAGATATCGAAACTCAAACTTTCGACCCGAAAAAAAAACGAGAGTGTTACCCCTTACATTTTTTGGGGGGGGCAAAAAATTAAGTATCCCCAATCTTCTCGAAACTCTGGATTCTGATAGAGGGCACTGAGACTTACACCTGAGTGCAAAAATGGAGGCTCTAGACACTTCCAAAGCTGAGATATCGAAACTCAAAATTTCGACCCGAAAAAAAAACGACAGTGTTACCCCTTATGTTTTTTTTTTTGTGCAAAAAATTAAGTATCCCCAATCTTCTCGAAACTCTGGATTCTGATATAGGGCACTGAGACTTACACCTGAGCGCAAAAATGGAGGCTCTAGACCCTTCCAGAGCTGAGATATCGAAACTCAAAATTTCAACCCGAAAAAAAAAACGACAGTGTTACCCCTTACGTTTTTTTTTTGGCGAAAAATAAAGTATCCCCAATCTTCTCGAAACTCTGGATTCTGATAGAGGGCACTGCGACTTACACCTGAGCACAAAAATGGAGGCTCTAGACCCTTCCAGAGCTGAGATATCGAAACTCAAAATTTCAACCCGAAAAAAAAACGACAGTGTTACCCCTTACGTTTTTTTTTTGGGCAAAAAATTAAGTATCCCCAATCTTCTCGAAACTCTGGATTCTGATAGAGGGCACTGAGACTTACACCTGAGTGCAAAAATGGAGGCTCTAGACCCTTCCAGAGCTGAGATATCGAAACTCAAAATTTCGACCCGAAAAAAAACCTCAAACTTTCGACCCGAAAAAAAAACGACAGTGTTACCCCTTACATTTTTTTGGGGGGGCAAAAAATTAAGTATCCCCAATCTTCTCGAAACTCTGGATTCTGATAGAGGGCACTGAGACTTACACCTGAGTGCAAAAATGGAGGCTCTAGACCCTTCCAAAGCTGAGATATCGAAACTCAAAATTTCGACCCGAAAAAAAAACGACAGTGTTACCCCTTACGTTTTTTTGGGGGGGGCAAAAATTAAGTATCCCCAATCTTCTTGAAACTCTGGATTCTGATAGAGGGCACTGAGACTTACACCTGAGTGCAAAAATGGAGGCTCTAGACCCTTCCAAAGCTGAGATATCGAAACTCAAAATTTCAACCCGAAAAAAAAACGACAGTTACCCCTTACGTTTTTTTTGGGGCAAAAAATTAAGTATCCCCAATCTTCTCGAAACTCTGGATTCTGATAGAGGGCACTGAGACTTACACCTGAGTGCAAAAATGGAGGCTCTAGACCCTTCCAGAGCTGAGATATCGAAACTCAAAATTTCGACTCGAAAAAAATACGACAGTGTTACCCCTTACGTTTTTTTTTTTTTTTTGGGCGAAAAATAAAGTATCCCCAATCTTCTCAAAACTCTGGATTCTGATAGAGGGCCATGAGACATAGACCTGAGTGCAAAAATGGAGGCTCTAGACCCTTCCAGAGCTGAGATAAAACTCAAAAATTCAACCCGAAAAAAAAAACGACAGTGGTACCCCTTTCGTGTTTTTTGAGGAACATTTAAGTTGGATTAAAAGTGAGTTAACACATCAATCTCAGCATGTAAATGCAGTGTTGAGCTCGTAATGTGAATCTTGTCTGTATGTTACAGGGACAGGAGAACACACGTGTGTTTATCCAGTGGAGAGAGACTCATGATGCTGAATCATGTCATCAAAGGATTTGAGTGAGTGTACTACAGAAATGGATACAACATCTATTAAATCTTAAGTTGTAGTTTATTTGAATGATTGTAATTTCAAATGGAGAAATTACAACACTTTTCTGATTCCTGATTTTTGTGCATTTGCTGCAGAGTGCAGAGCTTTTGTGGTGGCAGCATTTGTTGGGGAAAAAAAGGTTTTAGGGAATTTATTCAAAAATAAAGTAAGGTTATTTTTAATACATAAATCAAATGACATTGTGCTGTTAAATGACTGCTTTTGTGTAATGTTTGTGCATTTTTGTAGGATCTGAAATGTCTGCAGACTGGTGTGAGCACTGAGGATGAGTAGCCCAGAGCTGAATCCTGGAAGTGGTCCCATGGATGAGACCCTCCATCTCTCCACCTGCCCTTACGAGTCCCTCCATCTCTCCACCTGCCCTTACGAGAACCTCTATCGCTCCATCTGCCCTTATTGCCTCAGATTGTGAAGCGCTTGCAGTAGGATGTGGTGTTCAGCGCCTGTAAATACATGCTTGTAGTTTGAATAAAGCTTTGTTGTTGTGTATGTGTTGTTGACTTGTATATGCATTTGTTTGTGATGGTTACTTTTATTTGTATTTTTTGGACATTTTAATTAAAGTTTCCTTCTTGAAAAAAAAAAAAACTGTTTTACTGCACTCAGCTGGGGCCCCTGAGAAACTCTGGATTCTGATAGAGGGCCATGGGACTTAGACCTGAGTGCAAAAATGGAGGCTCTAGCCCCTTCCAGAGCTGAGATATTGAGATCCCACGTAGCATTATGCCATTATAAAAATAGTGGGTTCGTAGACGGTGTAATTATGGGATGGCACTTGGTGCTACGGAGTCAGGGGCCCCAGCTGAGTGCAGTTAAATAGTTTTTATCATGAAAGAAACTTTAATTAAAATGTCCAAAAAATACACTACCCAAATCCCCATTCAATAGAGGCCCGGGGGCGCCGTCGACCGGTCCCAGCGCGCTCATCCGCCAACCCACATCCGTTTTCCTACGGCCCAAGGACGGAATGGACCTTTTTTTCGGCCTTGGACTAGCTAGAGTTACTGGAAATCGAAATACAGTGACTTGAGGGCAATCGTCCTGCCAGTACTGTAAAAATACAAGAAAACACAGGATGCACACAGGAAATGGCTCTAACATGAATGCATTGATTGATTCCTAGGTTTATTTTGTTATGAATAAACAAATGTGCAATATAAAGGAAAAACCTTACGATTAAAGTTGTAATGTTATAATGTTCAAGTTTTTGTTCTAAAAAAAAGAAAGCTGCACACAGAAAATGACTCTAATATGACCAGATTGATTGATTCAAATACATTTAGTGTGTTACAAACAATGCGCAATCTGTTAAACAAAAACCTCAAAATTATAGTTGAAATGGTATACTGCTGGAATGTTTTTGACCTTGAGAAAAAGCTAAAAGTATAGACCAACAAATTTTATGTTTATTAATTTATTTCATGTTGGTACATTTTTAGGAAGTTTTGACCTGATGTCCATTGGAATGGACAAAAAAAAAAAATCACAATGAAAGCAAATATATAATTTTTTTTTCTTTTGTTTTCATTTATAGAAACCTCATGAGCTGGGAAAATGTACTTTTATATTTTTCAGAAACTTGAAACATAATTCAGGTCTGAGGGGGTTAAGCTATATTAAGAGGACAAATGTTAATTTTTTTCCCCCTAAAAACCTGTTCCCTTTCATCATTCCTTAGCCTAGACCTTTGTCTACAAATATATCTATTTTTAATAAGGTATTAATAAATGATGAAAACTTACTAAAGCATGTTTTTGTCACTTATCTTAAGAATCAGTGAGTCATAGTTTTGTCTTGTTAAATTAACATACAGCATCAAATGTAAATTATTATATTTTTCACGTGAAACTACTTATACTACACTTACTGCAAGGAATGTCTTGCTGTCATAAACTAGCCCCTTAACCAATAAGTCACTAATAAACCACCTGAGCAAAGAACACACTTGTGGACGCATAAACATGACACAACATGTGCTGTACATTTGGCCTAGTTTTATTGTGAATACTAATAATTAAGATGATTAAAATAGTACATAAACAACTGGGTACATAGAACTGATACACCAAAAACAGTCATTTTCCCTGTGGTTAAGGTTGACGTAAGGATATCGTCTCCGTGTGCAAATGCTAAGGTGTTACATTAGAACTGGCCCGTGGTCCCAATTTCCCAGAATGTTCTCAAAGAAACATCAGTAACTCACCGTAGCTACATCGAGACAGATGTGAGATACTGCCTTAGTTTAGAGTAGGAGATTCCAATGAACCAAGTCTGTTCTTTTTAGTGTCAGTCTCAGCCCTCGCCAGGACTTATGAAGTTCGATCATTCAATGCGCTACAGTGCATTTACACATGATCATTCATTCCCAAGGGATAAGTTCGCAAAACCCAAGACAAGTTGCATGAGTATTTCTATCATCTGTTTTCAAACAGTAATGGAAAAAAAGGGAAGGTTAGAGTGCAGGGTTAATGCCATTCGGGTTCTTCGAGAGCTTAGGAATTGTACATTTTAATTGGACACATCTGAAATGAGGGTAATGAAAAAGATAAATTAAAAGTGCATGACGTGGAGTAACATTACTCCTCAACTTCCAATGTGCCCTTTCTACAGAAGCAGCAGCTGCTTTGAACATTACGCTCTAAAGACAGAGGTGAGCTCTTGTATATACACACCTGCACACAGGCAGAATATTACATCCTTCTATTAATGTACTGTCAATTAAAACAGCAAGCCAACAATCAAAATATAAATAAAATACACTAAAAACGAAAACAACATTTGATCTTTTTTAACACTGAAAAGTGAGCTTAAAGACATTAGGGTGATGGGCCACTGTCAAGACAATGGCAGTGTTTCGCTATATGGTTCTGGAGGAGAGATGCGAGATGACTTCTGTGGGCCTGAACACACAGCCACATAGTGATGACAAATTAAAATTATGTAACCTCCCCTTTAGGACCTGTCGTAACAAATGCTGGACTATCGGGGACCGAAATGTATGTACAACACAAGCATGCTCTCTGTATGTTTTCCTGTAAGAAACGTCGTTAATTATTACTATAATGAAAATGCCAAACAAATGGTATAACTTAGCGTTTCTCATTACCATCAGCAAAATGTTCTTACAAAAGAGAAGAGACCAAAAGAATCAGAACTGCTCTGTGAGAACACTACCTGTTAGTAGTCAACAATCGGCACATCCTGTCATGATCAGAATCAGTGTTTGTATGTAGTGTGTGTCTTAAAGAAAAGGAGGAGAATATCTAAGAGATATCTGTGTGTGAGCTGAATGTTCTTTGTTTATGTCTGTAAGTGTGTGTGTCTTATGAAACCACAGAGTCTCTAGGGGTCCTATAAGAGGGCTTTCTCAGGGTAAGGGGTCTGTAGGTTGTCTGCAGTAGCAGAGTGGTTTTGGGAGGAGGGCACGTTGTAGCCATGGGTCTGGGTCATGTTCGCTGGAGCGCCAGGTTGGGTCTGGTAGTAATGAACATCAGCTGGGGCCAGGCTCCCAGGAGAGGGGCTATAGACTGGAGGCTGGCTCATGTACATATGGGCGTCACTGATAAACACATGTGACAAAAACAAATCAGACTTTAATAGAATTATACAAATATAATAATAACAATTTAATCAATGTATTAAAACAGATTTTCTTTTTTTAATGCACAGGAAGTTCAGCCAACTATGGCAAAATTGGTATCTAAGTTCTTGGCACGACCCAAGGAATCCATTAAAGGATTAGTTCACTTTTGAAAAAACTTTTGCTGATAATTTACTCACCCCCATGTCATCCAAGATGTCCATGTCTTTCTTTCCTCAGTCGAAAAGAAATTTAGGTTTTTGATGAAAACATTCCAGGATTTTTCTCCTTATAATGGACTTCAATGGGAACCGGATGGTTCAAGGTCCGAAAGATAGTGTTAATAACAGTTTCAGATGCAGCTTCAAATGTCTTTAAACGACACCAGACGATGAATAAGGGTCTTATCATGCGAAACGATCGGTTATTTCAAAACTTATTCCAAAAATGTAACTTTTCTAAGGACAAATGCTAGCCTTTCTCCATTCTGTGAGGCGCTTTTGCAACGTCACGTAATACGTAATTACGTTCAAAAGGTCACGGGCGACGTAGCCAGAAGTACAGAGTCAGAGTGTTTACAAGTTGAACGCATAGGTTGAACGTGAAAACTAACTCAAACGCCGTTTACAAAAAAGGAATTAAAAGGTAAAACAGATTTTGATTCTGTACTTCCGGCTACGTCGCCCGTGACCTTTTGAACGTAATTACGTATTACGTGACGTTGCAAACGCGCCTCACAATATATTACAAGGCTAGCATTTGTCCTTAGAAAAGTTACATTTTTGGAATAAGTTTTGAAATAACCGATCGTTTCGCATGATAAGACCCTTATTCATCGTCTGATATCGTTTAAAGACATTTGAAGCTGCATCTGAAACAGTTATAAATTGTCTTTTGGACCCTGAACCATCCGGTTCCCATTGAAGTCCATTATATGGAGAAAAATCCTGGAATGTTTTCATCAAAAATCTAAATTTCTTTTCGACTGAGGAAAGAAAGACATGGACATCTTGGATGACATGGGGGTGAGTAAATTATCAGCAAAAGTTTTTTCAAAAGTGAACTAATCCTTTAAGACCAGGGGCCGGTTGCATAAACTTAGTCATTATGTTAAGACAGTGTCTTAAGAACTAGAATGACCAACAAGCAGTTAGTTGGGGGTAATAGGTCTTACTGCTCGATATCAAATTTGAACGGTGTACGTTTTTATGTTACTAACTTTAAAAACATTTTATAGAATAAGCTAATTTAATCAAAAGTTATTAGCATTATTGGACATTTCTTTATACTTTTCCCAAAAAACGCTTGCTGCCGAAGACGCATACCTTTCCTTAACGATACCCCAATGCGTTTTCAAACATTTTCATGATGGAAAATTATGACATACGGTGCAATCAAATCGTCTTTGCCAAGGAATCAGAGGGGAAAAAAAAGTTTTCTAGCCCTAACGGTACAAAACTCCATCTGCGCTTGGCCCCTACATATACCTGCAAGCAGCCATTAAGGGGCCAAGTCAAGTCACAATACAGATTGTTTCAAAGCAGCTTTACAGTGATAATAGGAAATTAATGCAATAAAAATTGTTTTGGCTGTATAGCAGCTCTAGAATAGTCATTCTTTAGCTTTTTTTAATTAAGTTTTCAATTGATGTATTTCCAATGTAAAACTCGTTGGTTAGTAACTTGAGGGCCACTTACACAACACCGTTTTCGACAGAAAACTTTTTAATGCGTTTTGGCAGTTAATTTACACAACAACGTCGTTTTGGCACAAGCCAAGCACAAAGGTGGTACAATAAGTTATGCCAGCACGGCATGAAAAATAATTTAATTACGGAAAATTATGTCATAGGGTGCAATCAAATAAAAAAATGAAAGCCAAGGAATGAGAGATTTTTTTTTGTTTTGTTTCTAGCCCTTACTGTTCAAAGTCAGCTGGTGGCACTAGAGGGATTGAGTTAGAGACTCCACATCTGCTATGGTAACAGTTCTGTCCAAATTTCATAACTTTTCCGTGCGTGGTTCTAGAAGCTACCATAGACTCAATAGAGGAAGAAAACTAATGATTACAATAAAAGCCTACCAACCTTCAGTGCTTGGCCACTAATAAATAAAACACTAAAATAATAATAGTTTTATAAACACATTGATACAGATAATATTAGATTATCTTATTATTGCAAATTTAAAAACAATGACGACAACAATAATAATATATTAACATCCTCATCATAAATGCATTGTTCAGCCTTTTATGTTTTTATTTGTTTTAAATACTAATAACTTTGTATATTTGTGAATTATAATAAATTGTGATTACCTGGGAGGCTGCCCAGCCATTGGTGTTCCTGTTTGGTTCATTGCAGGGAGCTGCTCCATTGGAACATTGTATCCCGGTCCTGCTGTGCTACCCATTGCATACTGCCCTCCAGTGGACTGGCCAGAGTACACCTAAAAATAAAACAGAGACTTTCTCTAATACACCACTGCCAAAACAAACAACAACAAACAGCTATCATAACAAATTATATTCAGCATTAAACCATATCAAACTTTAATAATTTGACAGATTCTCACCTGCTGGGAACCGTTTGGGGTCTGCTGCATGTAGTACTGCTGGCTCTGTAGTTTAGCATACATAGTGTATACTGGGTCTTCATTCATTAGCTTCGCATAGAGAGACAGTGCTTCCATGACCTTGACGTTCAGGTCAGACAGCTCTGAGTGTTTTCTGAAAGCATGACACATTTCCCACAAGTGAGATCTATGGGGAATGACGTGCACAATCACATTGGTTTCAAAGGATTTAACTTGCTACAAATAATTGGAGGTTTGTTTAAACGCTTTGCAAGATATATGGAAGGATGGATTTTTTTTTTTTTTTTAATTAGTTTTTAGATGAGAATACCTGTCAATGTCTTCCAACTTCTGATCAATGAGAGGACCCATCTGGTTGCAAGCAGCTAATTGTGGGAGGGGGAACAAATTTGAATCAATCAACAAAGATCCAACGTACTCTGCCAGAGCATACGGATATGGTTTTAGACTCACCCTCCAACTGCAGGAGTTCACAGGAGTCCGACTGGTCGTCTGTTGGGTCTGCACTCTGGATCATCTGAAGCAGCTGGTCCATTTTCTCCTGCAAAACATTGCGAAGACATTCAAACCAGACTGCATGACACATCTGTGAGAGCTGAACACAGTTCTCCAACAAGAGTATCTGACATCTTTGAAAGGAAATAGTGAACAGTAGATCATTCATTTCACCGTCCAATTGCCTGCATCCAATTGTGCAATCCAGGAGTGTGTATGAAGCCAAATGTAAGTTATATGCAGCCTCACCTCATCAATGTAGACTGGCTCTGGTTCCGGTTCAATCGTCTCAACCTGGACGTCTTCACTGAACTGCACAGTCTTCTTCTCTGTTTTCACTAAGGACATATACATATTAAAGATGAAATAGTGTAATGTAATAAACAGAAAAGCAAAACCCAAGAGGATATCAGCTTGTATTAATGAACGCCAGTCGGCTATGAAGCATCAGCCGTTTACTTTCCTTTCATTTATTTTAAAACTTCTGTTTACCTTTCACCGGTTCCCTCTTCTTCCCTGTGCCTTGAACTTTGTTACAATTATATTAAAAAGCATTTTAAAAATAAAATAATAATAATACCTAATGAGGTAGGGCCTAATCTTTTTAATTTACCTCAGAAAAAATTACTGCTCAAAAGACCAACGAGGATATGTGCGGGAGCATTTTGAATTAGAATTAAAACTGAAAAGTAAGGTGTCATTTCAAAGAGGGATAATTCCATTAGAGCCATGCATAACCATATTCAGTACATGTACTTAGCTGTGATAGCCGAAGCAAGCAAATGAATATTCACTTCATTCGCACTTCAGAATCAGAATAAGCTTTATATATATATATATATATATATATATATATATATATATATATATATATACACACACAAGTCTTTAGTGGGTTTTTTACTTTTAGTCTAGTTGGTTACAAAATCAATCGAGATCCAACTCCTCCCACCTTACATACACCTAAACCTACCCAACTCCGCCCCCTAATCCCTAAACCCAACCATAATCCTACCCATCTCCACCCCTTGAATCTTGATCTGACTCCTCCCCGTGGATCTCATGTACTATATTGAGATGCTACTGTAAATTGTGTCATTCCTTTGTTGTTCAGAATCCAGTACTCCCATAATTCTTTTGTCTTTTATGAGTTTAATAAAGAATTCTGTCTCGTCTTCCGTCCAAACATACCGCGCCATCTTTCAAGAATGATCAACTTTTAAGAGCAAAAGAGTAGATGTGACAGCTTTACTCACTCATTTCAGGCTCTGCCGTCAAGTCTGCTGTAACGAAGTTTGACGGAAAAAGCCCAACACCCTGGTATGTCTCGCCCTTCCACCAGTTAGGGTCACTGTGATAGAGAAGAGATGCTTAAGCCCCCTCCCACCAAGTTTCATTAAGAAACAGCAACTCATTGGCTGTGTTTAGAATCATTCACTTCATCTCTACAGAGCACTCAATGAACAAATTACCAGTGAATAATACAAAACCCTAATCGGACGGGCCTAGTTTTTTCTAATTACCCAACATCTGTAGCCTGGACGCCAGCCTGAACCCCGCCCGGTCGGGAAGTTCGGTCTGGACTCCATCCATTGAAAAAAAATTATGATCAGACAAGAAAAGTTCGGGCCAATCAAATTGCCAGGGCGGGCTTTATACGATGATGGACAGGTGATCTGCAAGGACGTAATCATCACGTTATCTAAGAGCGCTTAACTGGTTTTCCTCAAAGATGACTGCAGCTGGAGAATTGAGATGTATAGATTCTCTCTCACGCACTCATGAAGGACTAAGTAAAAGAAGCAACACTTGTTAATTAACTTCTAAAATAAGTAAAGTTAGGCTACGTTCTGTAGTTGACAACTGTTTGCAAAGTAGTTCACTTACTGCGTTGCTCTGATTGGTTGTAGGTTTACAGACTATCCAACTGAGTGCAGAGATTTTTTTTTTTTCCAGGTTCGGTTAAGACACGCCTCATAATCAAAGCCCTACGGAGCAGTTTCAGACTCATATTCTGACAAGAATATGAGTATGACGAAGTCAGGCTACAACATCTGTGATTTGATGCATAGCTTTGGACGGGACTACTGTTAGTCCTGGAAATTTTACTGATGTTGTGTGAAAAAACAAAACAAACAAAAAACAGAAATAGCAGATTTGGACAGGAAGCAACTGTGAAATGTAAATTTTTCCCAAATATTTAAAACTAATCGATGAAGGATCCACTTCATTAGGCAGGGGGAACACGTAATAAATACCAGTAAGAGACAACATGGGAAGGCAGCTTCGGTTCCCACAGGAGATTTGCAGCACCACCTTAAGACCAGATGTGGTGCTGTGGTTTGCAGCTGTGAAGTCAGAAAATACTGATTGAGCTGACAGTGCCATGGGAGGAGGGACTGGAAGATGCCTACGAGAAAAAGAAGGCGAAGAATGCAGACCTGGTTGCGGAGTGCATGGAAAGTGGATAAAGTGTGACGCTGTACCCGGTGGAGGTGGGAACCAGAGGCTTTGTGGGCAGATCAATATCACGTCTGCTCAAGGACCTGTGACTACGTGGAGCCACACTGAGCAGATCCACCAAAGAGCTCTCTGAGGAAGCTGAGAAAACAAGCCACTGGCTCTGGCTGAAACGACTAGACAAAGCATGGGGAGTAACATCAAGTTAGGTTTTGCTGCAGGGGGTGTCAGGGAGACGTCCCTGTTCACTACCCCGCCACCATGAGACTTTCTGGGTTAAGAGGCTTCCAGCTGAAGACCCTGCAGCAGCAAAACCGTGTGATATGCAGTCAGGTTTAGGCCTGAGGCACCGACCGTTGGAGGTGCGTCAGGGCCTAAGGCCCAGCAGAAAGACCATCTCGCTGTAATGAGTAACTAGTCCCATTCAAATAGGGCTAAAGGGAATGATTTCAAACACAGCCTGAATCATCCATTGTGACCATCAATGAACAGAACCAGACTCACCTGTCATCTATGATGGTGATGATCTCGCCTGATTTAAAGGTGAGCTCATTGTCCTCGGCTGCCTCAAAGTCGTAGATGGCCCTGACCTTTCTGCCCTCAGTCTTGTTGGAGGTGAGGAGGCTGCTGGTGCTCGGGTAGAGGCCAGACAGAGAGACCTGAGGCTGCTGCCGCTGGTCCTTCAGAGACAATTCGATCGCTGAGAAAGAGAGACACAGACAGAGATTGCCTCTCTTTCTTCAAGGAAAATCATTTCTGACTTCAGCATTACAGATTTGTGCCCACCTTTAGCAAGGTCTTCTTCTTCCTTCTTGTTTGTTGATGTTGCAGGGTCTTTAGCTACCAATGCAGGACTGGCTTTAGCTTGTTCTGCTGCCTGAACAAATAAAGGTAAACATCTCATTACTAAACATTCCAAACCAAAAAAAAAAAAAAAAAAAAAAAAAGTAAAATCAGAAGTGCATAAAAACTGTTTGTTTGAGCAGCCCAGCATAAATGGAAAAAATACCTTTTATTGCCAAAAAAGAAAAAAAGGAAAAATAATAATAACAAAATAAGATTAATAGTAAAATACAATTTTGAATAAACAAATACAAACTGCATATATAAGTAATATTGTGAAATATTATTACAAATTAAAATTATTTTTTATTTAATTATATTTTAGTCTAAAATATTCCTGTGATGACAAAGCAGATTTATTTCAGCAGCCAGCATTCCAGTCTTCAGTATCACATGATCCTTAAACACAGGCAATAAACAGGAGAAGTGCTACTAATACAAAGTTTCAGACATTGTTCAGATTCAGAATAGTAAAAGCTAAAACAATGATGGATTAAGGAATAGTGAAAGCACAGACTTTTTTCAGCAGGATGAAATCATTCTATTATGCTGATTTGCTGCTCAAGAAACATCTCTAATAATTGTCAATGATGAAAACAGTTGTCCTGATTAATATTTTTGTGGAAAATTATAACAAAAAAAATCCAGGTTTCTTTAAATTAACATAAAAGATTAAAAGAACAGCATTTATTTGAGATATAAACCTTTTGTAACATTATAAATGTCTTTTCTGTCACTTTCGGTCATTTAATACATCTTTGCTGAATGAAGATATTATTTTCTTTCAAAAAAAACAAACAAACAAAAAAACAATCTTACTGACCCCAAACCTTTGAACGCTATTTTCTTTTAATATCAGGTTAAGCATGCTTTTTTTGTGAGCTGAAGATTCAGATTTGCCCTTTAAACTGAAACTGCCCTCCTGTCCTGACACACATTCAATTTCCTACATACTTGTATAACAAGTAACTACAGCATTTCACAGAATCCAGTGAACAGGCAGATCCTGGTAGAGCTGCTCACCTGAGAGCCCACCGCAGGGAAGATGACGCCCTGTTCTCTGAGGTTCTTGATCATGGCCGATATGAGGCTGAGCTGGGGGTCATTTCGGAAATCCTCAGCCCATTCCACCATGAGAGCCTTCAGCTTCTCACACACTTTTGGGTGGCCCTTGAGAAGAAAGGCCAAAGCATCAGTCTTATGCTGCTGGACAAAACATTGAAGCATAGCAGTTCAACAAACAAAAGTACTTACCTTATTTAGCACGTTGCTAACTTCACTAGCAAATTCCCTGGAGCAGACCTCTAAATGGAATATTTTCCCACAGTTTGACACACATGCACCAAGTAGCTATGAAAGAAAAAACACTTATTTCATTCTCAACAGTTCCTTAATGGCCTCTGATGTTTGCATACTTGAGAATTGTTCGCCTTACTGTCAATGCTTGCATGGCAACATGGGGATCCTTGTGATTCACTCTCCTCATTATAGATCGCAGGCATTCTTTAGGCCTTCAGAAGAAAAGCAATAACATTTAACCTGTTAAACACTCTTTCATCTAAAAGAGACTCTCAAAATCATTCTGAGCACTTGTTCACTAACCCAGTGCGAGACTGTCCGATCTTGTCACAAATGTCCAGAATGAGGCCCCAGTCCTCAGCTGTGTTCATCTCACTTGTTGCTTTCTCTGCAAAACAGTAATTACTCGAATATTAACCCTAATATTGACAAAGGTTTCATGTGATTCCACAGATTAAACAACATTTACATATTCATAGTAAATAAAAGTGTATCTTTCTGTAAAAGGCCCCAGGTTGTTCAAGCAAAATGTAAGAACTGATGGCATCCTTTTGAACGAAATCAGGCCAAATTTGTGAATTCGAAACAGCTAGCTAAAGTGAAAAAGAAAAGTAAAACACCGTGGTCATTGGTCCATGGCGATTGCGTAATGGTTAGGTTGAATGGAATGGAAGGTACACCTTCTTTGACATTCAAAATCTTCTCCAGTTAATTTCTTCTGTTCAATCAATCAATGTCAAACTTCCATGTGTAAAAACATGAACATGCTGGAGAGCTGCTTTATAGTAAAACGTGAAGTTGTAATTCTAAATTGAAAGAGACACTGACACTGTTCTTTTTTGAAAGAGACACTTCACTGTTCATGTTTGATACTGTTTAAAAGCAAGCAGTTTACGTCACATCCGTTTATAATCCGTTTATAAGCAGTTTACGTTTGTCCGTTTATGTTTTTATAAATACAGCCGTTTTATCATCACTGTCATATTAGTATTCTGCGTGCAACACATATTTACATATTCATTTAAAGGCCACTTTCAGCAGTGAGGGTGGCGTCAGACGTTTTCTAAGTATACCACTGGTCGAGTATTTCTAACTTCTTTTTACTCTAGTCCTAAGCGAAAAATGAAAAATAACTGTGAGTTTATCCAGGCTCAGTCAGAAATGAACCAGTTTTCGAGACAAAAATGCAACCGAAAGGGAAAAAAACACCCTTTTATGAATTATATTATTATGCAGTAGTTCTATCTGTAATTATACACTATCTTTTAAAAAAATTGGGGGCATGTAAGATTTTTTTAATGTTTTTGAAAGTCACTTATGCAAAAGGCTGCATTTATTTGAAATCTGGTGCTCAAGAAACATTTCTATTTGTTATCAATGTTGAAAATATTTGTTGCTTATTTTTATATAAAAAAAAACAACAAAAAAACAGGATTCCTCACTTGCCAATTCAATAGAACAGCATTTGTTTGAAAACATTTTTTTAACATTCTTACAATTATTATGCCTATTACAATTTCAATTTAATACATCCTTGCTGCATAAAAGTAAAAATTTTCTTCTAAAAAAAAATCTTACTGACAGACTGAACTTTTGAATGGTAGTTTATGTCAGATATCTGCATATTACATGACATTGAAGAATGTGGCTTTCAAAAATCTCCATGTTAATTGTTATATGTTATTACAAATAATTGAAGAGTTCAGATGCAAAAGCCTCTAAATGCCATTTGAAATGTTCTTCTTTAATGATGATTTTTATCAAACTTGTATATTTAAGTTCAGTAATTTCACTTAAATAACAATTAATAGGTAATTATCATTGCCATGCCATTTAAGTGAAATTACTGAACTTAAATATACAAGTTTGATAAAAAATCATCATTAAAGAAGAAAATTTCAAATGGCATTTAGAGGCTTTTGCATCTAAACTCTTCAATTATTTACAGCAACTTTTGTATTTGACGAGGACTTTATTTTATAATTGACAACCCCACTTTCTATTGTAAATCAAAAAAAGTCCCAAGTAAATCAATTCCAGCAGGTGGCAAACATTCCCATTAATAAAACAAAAGTTAATTTATAAATAAAAAGTTTAATTTAAGTTCATTTGTTGTGAGATTCTGTTGATCAATCTAGCAATAGAGGACAGAGGTTAACTTACACAAAAATACACCAACCATGGTCAGTATCTAGCATTTGGTACAGAGATAACTTACCACTACAAAACACTTGCAATAAACAAAACCGACCAGGATATTAATTCTATATAATACTCTTATACCATCAAAAATGCCAATAACATCATTCTGCAGCACCAGAACACCAGTCACTGCCAAAATATGGCATTTCCCATTCCCACACCACTATGTCAACACTATATCTGCAATGTTTGATCAACTCAGTTGTGATTGTATAACTAACCTACAAGTGCATGAACTAAATACTAAATATAAACGCGCTTATATTACATCAACACATTCTGGCTTTAACAGTGGTCCAAAACTTCCATCAAGAGGCTCATAATACAGTGATAATAATTATACACAAAACAACACTGAAATCGTATCTTTCGTAAAATCTTATTATAAAGGATACATTTATGCAGTAGACACAGCATCATTTAATAAATCAAACACGGATAATAATATAAGAGGAGTAGAAGGGGGCATTTGCAGCGTCACCGTATGAACCGTTAGCTCGAATTGGTCGGGGCTGAATTAAACCATTAAGAGTGAGATGGCTCAAATCATCTTAAGTAAACTGCAAAGCACATGTTTTTACTTAATTGTGCAGTGTCAGTGTCATACAAACAGAGAAAATTAGATCTGCTCGCTAACAATCATAGCTTCTTCAGCTAACAAACTTGACTAACGTTAGCCATCAGGCTAATAACATGTCTAGCTGTGAGACTGTTGTCATTAAATGCCCAGGTTAATACTGTCAAGGTAAACCGCTGGTGGGAAGTATTTAATTACCAGAATGCCATTGCGAAAAAAACACAAATATTTAAAGTGAACTCGAAAAGGAAACAGAAAGCCGGTGGGTTGCCATGAACAACAATAGACAGGGATGAGGTCCCGTTAACGTTAGCTCGCCTGCTAACTGCATGACAAACTTACCAACATCTTGATCAAAGGGATTTGACGTGAAGAGAGGCATGGCCGAGATATAAACACAACGGAATCTAAGCTCGATCCTCTTCTTGTTCGTCTCCCTGTCAGCACTTGGTTAAACGTGAATTAATAAACATAATAAAATAGAAACTACAGTCAGTGTTGATGATGGGATCCCCTCCTCTGTGTCTTTGCTCTTACTCAGTCTCGCAGCCCTGCAGCAGTGCATTCTGGGTAAGGTGTCGCTGGAATGTGCACGGCACATACATTTTGGCATAATCAAACAAATATGAGCGTGATTAGATGTAACGTTACTGTAAGACATGTATGTTATTCGACACTGGAATTTGTTAATCGGGTCGTGTAAATGATGAATTAGTGAAGGTTATGGAAAATACAGCTGATAAATCATATGACTTAATCACATGATAGACTCTCTGACTCAGCAGCAGTCACGAGATAGGCTAATATAAACACATTTTTTTTTTTTTTTTTTTTTTTTTTTGTCTTATTAGACACTTGAACATAATTTGGGACTTTTGTGATTGGGGAGACCTTGGAAGTGCTTTATCTATGAAAGGAGTGAGGTGTAAAAATGTGTAACATATAACACATACGTCTATAGACGCAGGCATTTTCCATGTGTTTTATCAGAAAAAACGTAACATTTAAATACATACATTTATACTATTAGGCCTAAGTATCGAAAAAAAAGTCTCTTACAGCTGCAATTTATTTGATTAAAACAGTAATATTGTGAAATATTATTTCAATTTAAAATAGGCTATTGTTTTCTATTTTAATATATTTCCAAAAGTAAGGCTGAATTTTACGCACATACACATTGCGTCTTATGGACTTTACATTACCATAGACTTAAAAATTTTCATACTCTACAAATTGTTTCCCTAGTAACCCTAAATGAAACACCACATTTTAGACCACAATAACTTATTAGTATGGCGTAGGGCCTCCTTTTGCGGCCTATACAGAATCAGTTAATCTTGGGAATGACAGCTACAATGCCGTAATGTAAGACAGCGAAGGTGGACTCATCCGAGAACAACATGTTCCACATTGTCCACTGGCCAAGATTTGCACTGTTGGCACCATTGAAACCGACATTTGGAATTGGCACAAGTGACCAAAGGTTTGGCCGGTGGAACTGCTGACAAACAGTTTTGGTAGAAACGGGAGAGTCAAGGTGTGCATTTAATTCTGCAGTGAGTTGGTTTTGTTTTTTGGATACAATCTGGGTTAGTAGCTGGATAACTCTTTCAGACAGCTTCCTCTTTGCGTCGACAGTTACTCCTGTTGGATGTGGTTTGTCCTACATGGTGGTATGGCGACCTTACCCTGGATAACATAGCTTTCGATACACCACAAATACTTTGATAACCGCACCACAAATCACAGATGAGCTAGTGAGACGACCGCACCAAATTCTGTCCTCTTATTTGTTCTGCTCAACTGATGGAATGTAAAATCTGTGAAGATTGGCCACCAGGCCACGTATAGCTGGAAACCTCCAACACAATAAAAACTATATTCACACACACACACTGGCAGACACAGCAATACATGATATTGATACATTCCACATTCAGACAAATAATAAGGATATTAAAAATGTCAACAGAGCTTTTTGAAAAATACCAACTATATTTTATTTCAGATAAAAACATGGTCTTTCATGATGATTACATACATGTACATGTATTCAAATACACAACTATTTTATACATAGCTACTGCATAATCAAATATTTGAAGCGTTAAAGATTTAAAGTTTTATTCACAAAATCACATCAATGATGTCCAAGACTTAAGAAGTAAAACTAAGGTGTGAACAAATTTTGGATTATAGTCATTACAACATATCAACATATTAATTTGCAGCTTTATGGTTGACTGTTCAAAGCTTTATTTTAATTAAAGCAGCTACAAAGCTTCATTGTATTGCACTGGAGTAATGTGGCATCAGCTTTGTTAATGACACAGGTAAAACAGGTATTTACAATCATATGATTACAATACATTACAGCTTTTTCACTTATCTAAACATTAACATGACTGGTGATCAGTGTATTTAAAATAGTTTGCAGTCTTGACTTGCTTGTGATTGTCAATGACATGTACTGTTGTGTCCATCCTGTATGCTGCTCACTGGGCAAAGCAAAAAGTCCGTGCTTTGTGAGAGGATACTGTGACAGAAGTCTTCTGAACTGTCTCTCTGATTGTCATATCCAATACTCTGTTCATTCATAACAGATGCTATAAAACTGGAACTTTGGCTGTGAATAATGGAGAAAATTCCTCAATGAAATATGTGAACTCAAGCACACCATGCAGATAACACATTTCAACTAAAATAAGCTGGAAATATATGCAAGAAACAAGAATCAGAACTTACATTCATTAGTTCGTTCACAAATGATACCAATGCGTTCTGTGCAGAAAAAGTCGTTCCAACTGCCCTCGTGTATTAAACCTGCACAGTCTTCCCCCGCTTCATGACCATGGCTCCAGTTATCAGGCTGCCCAGGTTTCCATTTCCTTTCAATTAAAAACAGACATGACTAATGGGAAATGCCTCCTAACACTGTAATCTCCTCTCTATATTACTGTGGATCCTCACTGGATACACATTACATTATGCATTTTGTACACTAGAGTAACAATAATAGTTCATGGGTATTTTCATGCATTGTTATCTACTCACGTATAGTTGGGCAGGCTTCCATCCACCCATCTCCAGATGTTTTCCTCTACACTGTCTGTGAGGCCCAGCCAAAAGTAGCCCTTTCCAGAAATTTGCCTCTTTATCCATAGCTGTGATGGATAATAAAGAGTGCATTGTGTAACACAAATTTATAGAGTGATATTAGATCTAAAACTTAAAAGTAATATATATAATGCCGTTTAATTAAGACACATTACATATTCAAGAATAGTATCCAAGATTTACCTGCTCATCTTCATCATTGATAATCAGCATAGATGAACTCTTGTTTTTGCAACTTTCCTTCGTTTCATCAAAGTTCAGAGTTTCTGGTGGAGCTGAGAAGTAGTAACATTTGTCTCTGAAGCTCTTCCACTGAGATGGGCACCCTTAGATAAAAAAAAAAAAGCATGTGCTATAATCTCTACAGTATGTGCAATCCATCTTCAGTTTTTCATGTTTTTGTACAGTCCCTACCCCTATACAAACATTTTTTAAAAAGTAACATCAGTTACATACTAAAGTGTGGTTTGTCGAATTGACAACTTTTAAAGTGCCCCAATTTTGCTATTTAATAGGTTCCAAATTTTGTTTGGACATTAGCCTACATTGCACATAACCTCTTTCTCACAGTGTCTGAAGGATCCAAGTTCGATCAAGGATCCAGTCTCTCTAAACCCCTCCTTTCTAAGAGCCTACTCTGATCTTAATGGTCAGATGGCTTAAACTGTTGTGATTGGTATACCGCTTACAGCGGATGTTGGAAACGAAATGCCTATTACCATATCAGCACTGGAAGCTTCCTCAGCGCTTGATACACAGTAACATTGGTGTCGGTTTTACCCATAGACTGTAAAAGGTTTTACCATATCGATTCCGAGAGTCCTCATCCTTTTGAAGTGCATGCAAAGTTCCAAAAAGGATTTGCAGCATTGAAAACAGCATCTTCTCAATATGCCGACAAAACCAACCAAACTCTTCCAGGCCTCAGCTACAACTACAGTGTTTCAGGGTAGGTCAATGTAGAGCAGTCAATAAAGCAATAAAGCATCTTATGAAGACCATAGACAGGCATTATGCAAATAATGTGACATTGTTATGTAGGTTTGTAACAGCAAGTGAAACTGGAATTGCTAACTCATTTTAGCAGTTAAGAATTGATTCTTTCTTTTAGGAGACAACAACTATATTTGTTTTGGATCTTTAAAACTTGGCAGACTTTTACATTTACTAAAAGCTATATTACACACTACATGACAGGTAATATTTAAAAAAAGCATAATAGGGACACTTTAACTTACAAATGAACAAAATACATCTCAGAGTACAAATGCCATAAAAACTATTCACGTAACAAAACCTGAATTCTTTTTTCTGTATAAACAGTAAACAGTGAAAGAGAACATAAGAAAGGCTTGTACCTGGTGTACTTGTTGGGGGAGGCGCTACCTGGCGGTTGACAAAGCCTTGTGGATCTACCTGGGGCACAAATACTGATGCAGGAGGTCCTGGTAATCCAGGAGGCCCAGGTGGGCCAATGGGGCCAACGGGCCCACGGGCGCCTTCAAGTCCTGCAGGCCCAGCTGGCCCTCTGAGTCCCAGGGGCCCCTGTGGCCCAGAAGGACCTGGCTGACCATCTCTTCCAGGCAGACCAGGTATACCGGGGTCACCTTTCTCTCCTGAAGGCCCTGCCCTGCCCCCTGATCCTCGTGAACCCTTTGAACCAGGGCTTCCTCTTGAACCAGGTGGCCCTTTCAACCCTGGAACTCCAGGAGGCCCCGTTGGTCCCCTTTCTCCTTTAGGCCCAGCAATACCAGGTCCTCCTTTTTCACCAATTTCACCTTTCTGGCCAGCTTTGCCAGGCAGTCCCTGAGACCCTTTGTCTCCCCGAGGACCTCTTGGACCAGGAGGACCTGAAATTAATGACAAAAAAACGTATCTTCTACTTGTCTAAAAGCAAAAAATGCATTTTTTTTTTTTGCATTTAATAAACTGCGCGTTGGTTCGTCTACACTCGCCTCCAGTGGATCTGTTTATTAATAACCAAACCTGAATGAAATACATTGACTTGACACATGAACAAACTCACCAACAGCAGTACAGGGAACAATTCGACAAGAGACAATAGAAATTTGTTTGTGCACTGCATGATTGTCACTAACGTGAACGAGCACCGATTTGCCGATATCCGGCATTTGTCTACGATTTAGCAAAATTTGTCGGCGAGTGAAAATTGGGGCTAAAATTATGCAGTGTGAACTCGACTTAATGCAGTTAACTAATGGAACCTTATTGTAAAGTGTTATCTATGTTTTTTTTTTTTTAAATAAAATTATCTTTTATAATACTTTTATAGAGGTTACATCTTGTTTTCCAAATTCATATTTATTATTACACCATTAATTAGGTTGCCTTAATCACCTCAAATTAAATCAAATCTGTAGCTCCTCAAAATTTGATTTGAATATTTAGTGATAAATATATAGTATTTTTCATCATTTATTTTAGTAAATCAATTTAGATTGTATCATTGTTGTGCTTGTGTTTTGTTACTTTACAAAAAAAGTTTACTGTTTCAGCAATTTAATTCTTCAACATGATAATGTATTTGAAAAATGCTGTAAAGCAGTCGACAAATAACGGCACGTGGAGAGATAACAACAGAATGTCACATAAAAGTTTTGTAGGGTCTGCGTGCTAACGTGTGTTATAATCTCAGTGTTTAATGGTATTTATAGATCCTCCTAACTTAATAAAACAGGCAATGTGACTACGAGGAAAGATTGCGTCCGTATGCAAGTTCGAGGGATTTACATTTAAATACATACACCTCTTTAGTTATTGTCATGTGCCAATGATTATCCCTCCCACCATGCCAATGTTGGCACACATGCCATAGTTTGCCGACCCCAGCTGTAATATTTTCTATAATAATAACAGAATTGTGTCAAAAAGTCATTATTTGATAGCTTCGGCTCTTACCCTGAAGGATAGTGAAGTTTGTGATGAGCTGCGAGTGTTTGCTGTCGACCAGTTTCATTTCCTCCATGACTATAGAGAGGCTGCTGACCTCTTTGTCAAGCCTGGCAGCCATCTCCTCCTGCTGGGCTTTGAGCTCTGTGCTTTCTGCCTTAGTTTCTGCCACACTGTTGTTGAGCCCCAGCAGCAGGTCCGAGTGCTGGGTCACCGTCTCGGCGCAGGTGCGCAGGCCGTTCAGGTCCACGCTGATCGCTCCGAGCAGCTGCGTGGCGAAGCTAACATTCCCTGTAATGCGGTCCATTTCCCCCTCGTTCCGGTCAAGACGTGCCTCTAGTGCATCAAACTTCATGGAAGTGGCATTGTCGTGGTCTCGCTGATGGTCCATGAGCTCTCGCAGGCTCTGGTCGTGGCCGTCGGTGATGCCTGAGGCGTTCTGCACCTGCTCTGAAAGCGAGTTCAGCTGAGAGGTCACGTCCTCCAGAGAGTCACTGTTAGAGCGAGTCAGTGCAGAATTATTAGCAGCTAAGGCCTGAAGGTTCTGCACCTTCTCCCTCAGCCAGTCGGCATCCGCTTTGGTCTGCCTAGCCACCTGCTGAAGGCTCTGGTAGTCATTCTTAAGCTTCTGGACAGCCTGGCTAGTGTCCTCCACTGACCTCTGGAGGGAGCTGAGGAGACTCCTCTGCTGGGTCTGGGTGAAGTTCAGAGTGCTGATGCTGTGAGTGTTTCGTCCCTGTTCATCTGTCTGCACCTGAAGATTCGTCTGGAGCTGCACAGTGTTAGTCTTTAGTCTCTCAATCAGACCGCTGTATAAGTTTAAGGTGTGGTTTACTTTGTTGATAACGTTGGCGTTGCTCTCCAGCAGATCTCGGAGTGAGTGGTGTCCGCTCTGCATGTCCTCGCCGGCTAGCTGTAGCTCACCGAGAACAGCTCTGTTGCTAGAAGCCTTCATGGCAACGTCACCGAGCTGCTTCTGCAAGGCCTGAATTTCCGACTTAAATGAGAGGAGTTCACTGGTGGCGTTCTCTGACTTCTCACCCGTTTCATCATCTGCACATCAAAAATGTAGAAGTTCATGAAGTGAAAATTAAAAATGGATTCAGAGCAGCCGAGCCAATGACGCATGAGAGTGTCCATTATAAATATTTAATGATTCATTTAATGCGATCTTTAACGACTGTTCTTAATTAATTTTAAGAACTTTCCAATACTTTTCAAGACATTTGTTTTACACATATCATGAATTATTATTCATAGAAATCACACATGATATAATACAACCTGTACGAACCTTGCCTTGACATGACAAGGTGCCACCACATGACTATAAACATCAGAAGCGGAATAAGAAACTACCTAAGGTTTTATTTTTAACTATTTCATTCTGATTAGGCTTTTTCTTCTTCATTATTGTCTTAGTTTTTGACATAATGCCACAAAAAATATACATTTCATTTAAAATATACATTTTAATTCAGAAAATCAAATGCTCATGCTCATCACAGAAAATTTGTATTCAAATCATTAAATGTGAATGTGTGCAGAAAATAATGGATTGGACAGGAATTTTGCCAGTTATGTGATATCTATACGCCTTATTCACGGCAACGCCATCTTTGATTTTTAATGAGAATGAAAGCGAGGCTGTGAGGGATAGACTTGCATCTCTTCAATGGGCTGTACTGTTATTTAATGTGTTTTCGGATTGTTCTGCTCATGAAACACTGGAAAAATACCTTTCAAAGAAATGTCAGCTGACAAAAAACTCCCGACAATGTAAGCTGTGGAAAATTGTAAGTAATCTAGCCGCTTTATTCAGCTTTTTACAGCGGATGCCATTGGAAACATGGTAAGTCTATCCCTCACAGCCTCACTTTCATCCCTGTCATGACGCTGCTCTGAATAAGGTCTATAGGGCACCATCTCAGGTCTACTTACCAAGTTTCTTGAGGTCTGCCTCTACGGCCATGATTTTCCCACCATAATTCTCCATACCTTCTGTTACATTATCCATCTTTTGGACCACTGTGGAACATACATTACAAATGCCAGTCAAACCTTGTCTGTACTATGGACTACAAGTAGACTATAAATCCTGAAGGATACACATTTAATAAAGAGTCAAGAGGCTGCTTGAGATTAATCTCTGAAATTTCCTTCAAAATGCTGATCATTTTGACCTGTGGACATGATTCAACAATTTTAACTTGTCCAGTGCACATGCATACAAATATAACATAAATTCCACACATACAGTCATGCAGGAAATACATGACACTTCATTTCCTCTGGAATTTGCAATGGATCCTGAGCAGTCTTTATCTGAGCATCTCCTGAGCCTATATGGTAATTCCCAGCAGTCTTGCTGGCACCACTTTTCAAGGACAGATTTTGGTCTCATCCCTGATTTGTACAATAATAAAACCCCAGTTTAAGATGCCCAAGGGCTAAAATGTTAATATAACATGCCATACCCATAACTAGGCCTTTTATGTACTTAAACATCTTTAGTCTTGATTCTAGAGTTGTAGTGTTCACATGCAACACTAGAGGGCGCTTTCACTTTGCATTCTGGTTGATTCTTTTAGAAAGTGGTTTATGATTAAAATACCAACTGTCACATTCATCGTTTTCTTTGGAACGGCCAGAACACGATCTTACAGTCTATTATGACAAAGTCCTGTTAGGGCTTCAAAGCCCCCTCTTGATCCCAGTGTTTATCCCACTGAATATCTCGCTGGCGGTCAAACATGAATGAAAAAATAAAGTCATAATCTTTGCTCTCTAGTGTATTTACTATCACTGTTTTCAACTCGTGTTTCATTCAGACATGCAGCACTCAGCAATTCACTGACAGCAAACTCAAACACATCAAAGATATAGGGTGTTAGCATTCCTGGCTGTGCTTGTGTAACCAAACACAAAAAAAATATATGCTGTAGGGGAAAAACAAAACATGGAGGTCCATTTCAAAGGCTTGTTGGTCATTTTCACACTGGGAGTCTGTCAGTGTGAGGTCAACACTGCCAGTTCCTCCACTCAGTCTCCTGCCCTCCTTCTCTCTCTCCCACTCTCCATTCTTTCTTGTATAAGCCATGCTATTTTTGAACGGAGTTTAGTAGAACGGTTATCTTAGATGTATTAGGCCTCAATCTAAATATGCACCAAATATGCACCAAGACACTAACAGGACTAAATCTGAACATGCAATTAAAACTCTTGTTGATATATAGCTTCAGGAGGCAGTTTAGAAGAAATACAGAATAAGCCATAAAGTGACCAGATTCACTCTGGCACTGCCAACAAAGGAAACAGGAACTGTATTCAGAATGCCACAAAGTCCCTGTCAATCAACCTGTGGGTTTGGGACAACAAATTGCTGCTATAAGGCATAAAATCTCCTCTAGAGCAGGTTTACAGTGAGACTCGCTGCTTTACATGAGTCTTCTCATCTGGTTGGCATTAGGGCTTTAGAGAACCAGAGGACACATATGGACATGTGATCTGGACAATCAGATCAAATTCACTGAAATGTAAATAAGCAAGGAGACATTTTCAATATCAGTACAGATTTGGGGTGCTTTGTAGAAGTTCAATCGTTCCATTCAAAGATACAGGGATGAAAGTTGAAAACAATTAATAGTGAATGAGTGTACAGTCTTATTTTAGTCTTATTATAGGATAATAATTTACAGATACTTTTATCCAACATTACTTGCATTGCATTCAAGGTATGCATTTGATATACATTTTTTTATATGTGTATCTATCTATATCTGTCTGTCTGTCTGTCTATCTATCCAGCTAACAGGGAACATTCTGTCCAGGTTCACTTAAAGATATGAACAAATATTCTTCCAGCAACGTTAATAAAAATAATGTTCATCGCAGTCAATGAGTATTTAGCTGGTGAAGTGTATTTACTTATTGTAGAGTTGACGAAAGTTATCATGAGTAGAATAATGTTTGAAGCGGAAGTCAAAACAAATGTCAGTAGACCGGAAAGATTTTAAAATGAGTGGTTTATTCATAAATCCGCAAGATCTTACCTTTATAATGTGGAAATACAAAGGGGCAGGGCTATATAAGGTAAATATGAATGCTTTAAATCACAAACTGACTAAAATTACTTAAAAAAACCAAACTAAATAGCTCTAGTTTACAGTGTCCATCTGGAAGACAATAATGTGCATTATCTTATCCTGATTTTTAGCACCAAACAAAATAAACTGCTCTTTTTCACAGCGCTCTGGCTTTCCCAGCTAATACAGAAAGCAGATGCCACAGTCTGATTGACAATATTTGGAAAACTATCTTGTTTCTATGGTGCAATACAGTTGCCTTATGTCAGGACAAATAATAAAGTAAGCCAAAGTTCAAAACAGAACAGAAGAAATAATGGTGAATGTTAAATTATGGCACATTCTTGATACATACAGTATTAGTTGGACATAACATATAAACCCAGATTTTCCAGGTTTATGGTCTTAACAACTGACAGCAGAACTTGTCTGTATGGTAATTTTGTTGATTTGCAATCTTCAGTGTGAAAGCAGGCTCTAAATGACTCTAAAAGATGAATGAGAGAGTATCTTAAAAAAACAATGATCAGAAGACTTCCTACCTTTGTATCCCAGCACAGCCACAGCTATGGTGAGCAGAGCACAAAGCACATACAGAAGAGCAATGGCCACCCTCAGAGCCCAGTCATTTTTACATTTAGTGCATTCACTTCCCTCCTGGATACCTGCAACACAAAAGAGCATTGCATCAAACGGGAGAAATCCTCTGACAGGAAAAATCAGGGAACTACCTGTGGTTTTAGGGATAGTTCACTCACAAATCATCTTTTACTCAGCCTAATGTTGCTCCAAACCTATATGACTTTCTTCTGTGTGACATATATATATTTTTATATTTATATATTTTATCATAAATATATTTTGAAGAATGTGTCTTTTTTTCAGTATAGGGTCTAATGTTGACCCTTGATTGATTTACATTTGAATGAATAAAAAAAAATCTTTAGAATATCTTCTTTTGATATAGAAAGTAAATAATCACAATATTTCTGTAACTTTTTTCACCGACACTTTACAATAAGGTTTTGTTAGTTTACAGTAGTTCCACTTTTGTTAACATGAACAAAGAATGAACAATACTTTAACAGCATTTATTAGTCTTAGTTAATGTTAATTTCACATTTACTAATACATAAAATTAAAAGTTGTATTTGTTAAGTAAGGGTTAATGTCCATCCAGCCAGTTATTATCGCAGAATAGTGAACATGACACCGACGCGAAGTGAACATGGCAGCAGCATTTGTCTGAAACGACTTATTATTGATTTGAGTTTTAATATTGTATTAGCTCAACAAACGCACAAATTCCATGAAGGAAAAACAATCCTAGCAAGTATAAAGCGCTGACTTTAATCAGTTACCAGGATGAGCCTGCCCTCGGTTATCATCGGTTGTTTTGGTAAATAACATACCGATGGAATCAAGTATTCCACAAATCCCTATAATAACATTAGTTAATGCATTGTGAACTAACATGAACAAAACAATGAACAACTGTATTTTTATTAACTAGCATTAACAAAGATTAATTAATACTGAACAAATGGATTGCTTGTTGTTAGTTCATTAATGTTAATTAATACATAAACTAATGTAAACAAACGAGACCTTATTGTAAAGTGTTACCCTTTTTTTCCTGGCATTCACATATTTTTATGGTCTTTCAAATCATTATGTTTGACATGTTGATGATGACCTCATGCTTTTCTCATTCAAGTTTTAGACATGGCTATATTGCCAAACATAAATCGTCAAAACATCTGAAACACCGTCAGGAAATTACTTGAAGAAAAACAACACAAATTCCAAGGGACAAATCAACTATTCCAGAGATTTCACGCAAAGCGGCTTTAAAGATCACATTGTTTCATCACGTGATGGTGTAAGCGAATAACTGCCTCTCTGTTTGTTTTCAAGAGTCAAGCTGAAACTACACCATCAGGGCTTACTTCAGCGAGAGACCATGTGTCATGCTTGTCCTGAACAAGAATGACTGATTTGTGTCAGTCTGGTTCAGATTACCATTGAGCCAAACTGTTTTCCCCTTCGATCCAGAGGGAATAAGCGGTCAACCGTAAACAGCGTCCCACTAGGACAAACCACAAGTCTGTATGGTCATAACAGACTATGACGTCCAATTCGCCACACGCTGCATGTTTTTGCTGCAGCAAAGAGTAAAGATGACCCCTGTTGTGTTTAAGTAGGGGCTTAGCAAATAAACATGTCCACTATCTCCAGAAACACTCCAGACATTCCACAACGAGGCTCACATCCTTGTTTGACTTATCAGCATATGTTCGGAGTGGCAGCCATGGCATCCAGGTCAGGCTAAAATGAAAGCCCCAGGAGAGAGCTGGGGGGTGGGTAGGTCGCTGAGGAGCTTGTCCTTAGACCCACACATCTGTGTAAACATCAGGGCAGAGCCCCTCAAAGGGCCCTCCGAGCTATGGCCCCGGATGTAGGGGGGGATTTACATCGCGGATTTGGTGAGGTGGTCTGTGTGGGGGAGATCAGAAGAGGCCTACCCACCCTCACTCAACTATAACCAAACCGCACCATGTAAACAAGCAACATCACAACCTCTGGCTATGGGTCACTGGGGTGTGCAAAGGAGAGAGAGAGAAAAGAAAACAATAAATGCAGCACTTTTACATTGCTGTAGAGTGTTTATAGCTGTGTTTCTTTCACCTAATGAAAACTATTAACTAGAGATGGACAAATTGCTCCTGACTAACAGCTCTGAAGCTAGATTAACCACACAGCTTGCTCCTTTTCACACACGCTTTCAACATCAGGAGGGAAGAGCTGGTTTAACTGAAGAAATACAGATGTGTTCTTTCAGATAGCTGGAATTCCAAGACGGGACACTTAAATATGCGTTCCGTAACAACAGATATGGAACAAGCAAACATGTTCCACTTGCGTTTGGAATGAAAACTGCTTTTTATTCAAGTTTTTTTGGGGGTAAATTCTGGAATTAAATGGTGTTCCGTTAACTGTTCCCGCACGTTTTCCCACTGAACCAATGGAGTTATCTGCAGTTAAACGATGATTTACAATTATGTGCTTCTGAAACTTGTCCTAAACTTTAGTCAAAGACAGTCATTTAACATGTGTCTGAATCATGTACGAATTTAACAAAGGGAAAGATAGACATCTAAATATATAAACTAATAACTTTGAGTAGCCAAGAAGTCAAGTAATCAAGAAATCGGGATTTGCTTTTGCCTAGTTACATTTGGCTTTCCTGAATTGTACATTGTTGAATTATGTAACTATTGCCATGCTCCTATTTTATAAAAACTGTTGTATTTATATATATTTTTTTTTGCTGGTGGGATTCTCTCTGAAATTGAATTAAAGCATATTCAAAGATATTGTCAAGAGTCTGTTTAATTATTGCTGCACAGCAGGTTAGTGGAACACTCGAGACCTTATTCACAAGTGATAGTGTTCAAAAAGGAACGAGACGTCGTTTGAGTCAGTTTGGGACTGACTCAGATGCGGTCAGGTAATGACATTTTGTGCGGTCAGAGTAGCTTAGGCATTAACCAACGCGGCCAGAGTCATCTTGAGTATAATTTTGGTTTAAAACTTTAGTCAGGTGCGTAGCCTACTGTGCAGAGAAAAAATCTACCACATTCACAAACTACCTTGTAACCAATTACGTCAATGTGCCCGCAGGTTAACATCATTACAGCGAACTAGCAGAAGAGTCTTGAGAGATGCCAAGTTATTCCGGTATATTTTTCTGTTGATATGAAAAATCGGGTCGATTTAGCAATGTAGCGGATCTGTGTTGTATATTACGTTTCTAATGATTGTTAGAAGGCAACTGTTGGATTCTGAGATGCGAACGGGAACATGGTTTGTGTAACATTAGCAACACATTATTAGCTGTTTTGATAGTCAAGCAAAAGGCTAATCATATTAATTACCGTTATGTGTCTGACGTTGAAAAGAGCGATACCATTGTGCAGCGTTTGAGTGAATCTCTGAGCTGGCGTGAGTGGACAGTGGAAGCAGCTAGGGCTAATTAGCATGAATCCGCGTAAACTAAAATAACCTATTTAAAGGCATGAATAATTTTTTTTTTCTCAGGAAAAAACGTTTAAAAATGTCATGTTGGTGATCAAAGATGAGTTTTAAAGGTGATATATTATGCGCCTTTAATATAAATCTATGGTGTGTCCCCAGAATGTGTGTGTCTGGGGGGGATTTCCATTGAAAATAAGATGAATCGATTTCTCTTCTTATCTGAGGATGGGACTCTAAAGAGTGTTCTGTGCTTGTCTGTGCAGCCAACGACAGAACAGTTTGCATGCGTTGCTCGAACTTTTGCCATTGCGTTAATAATAAGGTCCCCTTCCTACGTCAGAAAAGGGATGCGAAATCTAATTGTTTTTTGTTTTTTTTTACATGCTTGCAGAGAAAGGCTTACCAAAACAAAGTTACTGGGTTGTCACTTTTCTTGTTTTCTTGGTTGGTAGATGCACCGTGGACCTGATTATATCGCTTTTAAACACGGAAAAAGTCAGATTTTTATGTTATGTCACCTTTAAGGGATTAAATGATTGACTAAAAGGGGACAATACAACCAGTCTGAAGTATAATAAGTCTGTGTAAACACATCGTTTCATTTATGTTAAAATAAAATGAATGTTTTTTTTATATATTATTATTATTGAAATAATGTCATCATATGGCAATGGAATGGTTTTTATTTTTTCAAATATTTATTCCTTAAAGGTTCGAAAACAATTGATAATGGATCCTTTAAGGAACAAGAATTGTTCTATGTAGGAATTATAATCAGAATCAGACTTGGTAATTTCTTCTTCACAATTCCCATCCTTACTTGAAATGTTTCCTTGTTCAAACCTCTCACACACTTGCCAAATGTATTAATGCAGTCTATGTGGACCGTACATGACAACAGTATCTATAAACATTCAGACACACATCTAAACACCCACACGTTTAATGTTTGTAACTAACACACATGAGAAAACCAATAGGGAAAAACAAACTGAGGCCCTGGAATGGATGACCATACCTTGCCCTTTACTACAGGGCTTTCGGGAGGGTCTGGAAAGTGGCTAGTGTTAAAGGGTTAGTTCACCCAAAAATGAAAATTATGTCATTAATGAATCACCCTCATGTCGTTCCAAGCCCATCTTCATTCATCTTAGGAACACAGTTTAAGGTATTTTAGATTTAGTCCGATGGTTTTCTGTCCCTCCATTGAAAATATATACATGATATACTGTCCTTGTCCAGAAAGGAAATAGAGACATCATCAAAGTAGTCCATGTGACATCAGTGTGTTAGTTAGAATGTTTTGAAGCATCGAAAATACATTTTGGTCCAAAAATAACAAAAACTACGACTTTATTCAGCATTGTATTGTCTTCCGGTTCTGTTGTCAAGCCGCATTCAGTGACGCTGATGAGGTAAGACGCTGCTGACGTGTTATCTGGTGCGTCCTTGTATTCGGGTTCAAATAAATATGGCTGGGCAAAAAAAAATGCAAGTCTTCCTCAGTGTCGAAATCCTTAGACATGTTTGTGAAGATTGTTTGGTTTACAGCGTGCGTCTCCCTCAGACTGTAAACGAAGCTCGGGCGCACTGATAACACGTCAGCAGCGTCTTACGCCATCAACAT